AAATGGAACAGTCTATTGAAACTTTAAACTATATGTGTGTGTGTGTGTGTACCTGTTTTTCTATTCTGGTGGGGACTTAAACCTGAATACATACAGACTCATGGGGACTCGTGTCACGGTGGGGCCCTAAATTGTGGTCCCCACGGGTACAAAAGCTTATAAATCATACAGAATGAAGTTTTTTGAAAATCTAAAAATGCAGAAAGTTTCCTGTGAGGCGTAGGTTTAGGGGTAGGGTTGGTGTAGGGCAATAGAATATACGGTCTGTACAGTAGAAAAGCCATTACGCCTATGGAGAGTCCCCACAAGGATAGCTGACCAGACGTGTGTGTGTGTGTGTGTTTTATTGATGACAATATTAATTTAACATAGCTGACAAAAGTAATGCACCAAATATCTCTGAAATATTTACCACTATCTTCTGTTGCAATGGACAAATGCTTAACATCATTTACAGCATCGTGTTTTATATAATTTTTAAGATTGTAAATGAATATATTCTGAAGTAAAAAGCAGCATTTAGGATTTTTTTTCTTTGTGATTTAATAATTCATGCAGAGGATAAAAGTATTTATCTTATCATCTTATCTTCTTATCTTATCCTGTCCTGTCCTGTCCTGTCTTATTCAATCCAATCCCGTGCCACCCACATGAGAACCAAGACTCAGTATCCAGCACAAAGTACTTGGCCTCATCTCCAACTCCTTTTTGCAGTTTTAATAACATGTAAGAACCACAAGTATCGCAGCTTAAAATCATCGTCACACTTTGAGCTGACAATCATAACCAAGTGAGCTATTTTGATGGTGTGCGATCCTTCTACATATTCTTTTTTTTTGTTAACAACTGTTTATTGAATTTTCTTCTGGGAATAGTAATATAAAACAAACAGCAACTGTGCAAATTTAGAACCCTGGTAGACTTAAAAAAATTAAAAAATAATAATCATAAAATAAAAATGTGTATATATAAAAAAAAAAAATATATATAGTAATAATACAAATAAATAAATTAATAATAATAGATAAATAAACAGCCTTCTACATATTCTTGAAGTAAGAACAAAGGCCGTTCATGTGTGTTAAGGAAAATAATGAATGTCAAAGATGCCTGTAGGCAAGTTGCTTGCAAATGAGACATCTTTTAAGAATCAGACAATATCAACAGAGAGATTAATTTATTTTCATAAAGTGACCCACTTGCATTTAATGATAACCGACTGTGAAAAATAACAAGGGCCCGTCTGGTCTCTGCGGTCATCAGAGTGACTGTACGTTTCATTTCAAATAGTTTAAAGCTTAGTTGGCATTAATATTTGCTTGTCTATTATTTTTTTTAATCTTTATTTGATTATGGAATATATGGAGACACAAGACTCAGACTTATTCTGGGCTTCTGGATCAGCAGGGGAATGTGATTTGTTTTAGTGAAGACTGATTCATCACTTCAGTGGGAAAGCCACGATGAATTAAATCGCAGCCGCACAGTGCATAAAAAGATTTCAGTGGCTTTTTGCCATTCTTTATTGACAGAGACATTAGAGAAAATACAGAAACATACATGGGAGAAAAAAGGGATGTGGGATTATGTTGCTGGCTGCATTCAAACCTGCATCGCCTGCAACTCACCACAGCTCTGCATGTATATTGCATGGTTTCTGTTTTGTTTTGTTGTAGTTTGGTGCATCTTATTACTCAATTCTACCTCATTTTTTTGTCGGAAGAGTTTTTTTTTTATATATATAATGGCCAGGTAATGTTTGTGATGGGTTACAGAGTTAGTATAGTATGTTTTTGGCACTGATTCATCACTTCAGTGGGAAAGCCACGATGAATTAAATCGCAGCCGCACAGTGCATAAAAAGATTTCAGTGGCTTTTTGCCATTCTTTATTGACAGAGACATTAGAGAAAAGACAGAAACATACATGGGAGAAAAAAGGGATGTGGGATTATGTTGCTGGCTGCATTCAAACCTGCATCGCCTGCAACTCACCACAGCTCTGCATGTATATTGCATGGTTTCTGTTTTGTTTTGTTGTAGTTTGGTGCATCTTATTACTCAATTCTACCTCATTTTTTTGTCGGAAGAGTTTTTTTTTTTATATAATGTATATAATGGCCAGATAATGTTTGTGATGGGTTACAGAGTTAGTATAGTATGTTTTTGGCCCTTTTTTGTCATCCGCATGAGCACCATGACTCAATTTGTCAGCGCTAGCCATTAGGCCACGTCTCCCAACATCAAATTACTTCTTCACTGAACTTTTGAGTTTTCTTTTTTGTCTTTCGCTCCCTCATGTTAATATCTGTGGAGGACTGTGGTTAAAAATGGTACAGCTCCATGGCCTCAGGCTCTCTCTTGCTGGCTGTTTGTGTGTGTGTGTGTATTTTCACCTAATGAGATTTGCAGGCACACAGAGCCTCGGAATGGACTATTAGTGAAGACACATTGTGTTGTGTGTCGCCCCTTCAATGAAGCATTCCTTTACCCCCTTAAGACATACACATACACACACATACACAACTCATTAATGATAACCGACTGTGAAAAATAACAAGGGCCCGTCTGGTCTCTGCGGTCATCAGAGTGACTGTACGTTTCATTTCAAATAGTTTAAAGCTTAGTTGGCATTAATATTTGCTTGTCTATTATTTTTTTTAATCTTTATTTGATTATGGAATATATGGAGACACAAGACTCAGACTTATTCTGGGCTTCTGGATCAGCAGGGGAATGTGATTTGTTTTAGTGAAGACTGATTCATCACTTCAGTGGGAAAGCCACGATGAATTAAATCGCAGCCGCACAGTGCATAAAAAGATTTCAGTGGCTTTTTGCCATTCTTTATTGACAGAGACATTAGAGAAAATACAGAAACATACATGGGAGAAAAAAGGGATGTGGGATTATGTTGCTGGCTGCATTCAAACCTGCATCGCCTGCAACTCACCACAGCTCTGCATGTATATTGCATGGTTTCTGTTTTGTTTTGTTGTAGTTTGGTGCATCTTATTACTCAATTCTACCTCATTTTTTTGTCGGAAGAGTTTTTTTTTTTATATAATGTATATAATGGCCAGATAATGTTTGTGATGGGTTACAGAGTTAGTATAGTATGTTTTTGGCCCTTTTTTGTCATCCGCATGAGCACCATGACTCAATTTGTCAGCGCTAGCCATTAGGCCACGTCTCCCAACATCAAATTACTTCTTCACTGAACTTTTGAGTTTTCTTTTTTGTCTTTCGCTCCCTCATGTTAATATCTGTGGAGGACTGTGGTTAAAAATGGTACAGCTCCATGGCCTCAGGCTCTCTCTTGCTGGCTGTTTGTGTGTGTGTGTGTATTTTCACCTAATGAGATTTGCAGGCACACAGAGCCTCGGAATGGACTATTAGTGAAGACACATTGTGTTGTGTGTCGCCCCCTTCAATGAAGCATTCCTTTACCCCCTTAAGACATACACATACACATACACACACATACACAACTCATAAACATGCTAATAGCTAATAAAACCCTCATGTTCATTAATGAAACTCTTTTAAAAAAGAAAGCAAGCAAAAAGACATAAAAATGCTGAAGAAAGAGGAAAAGCACACATTTTCTGAGCAGACAGAGGCAGAATTTCACAAAAGCCTGGTGTGATGAAGTTGTAGAGGATGCAAAAACTCATTTAGGTGCTCAAATAGCTACTATTAACTTTCTCTTCATTCATTCTCTCACCGGGAGATGAACAGGCAATGTGTTTGTGCTTCCTGGTGAAAGAAAATAGTGATTCGGTTGCGAAGGAGTTTTTAAAGCATCAAATCTGCAATGAAGAGATTTTGGAGATTGACTTCTGTGGATCTGAATTATATTTTGAAGCCAGATATTGACTCTGAGCCTCTGCGATATGAAATGTGTCAGTGCGCCAGGAGAGTGCCCAATTCCTGTGAGCATTTGAAAATTCCTGACCAATTTCACTTCATTTTATTTGTTAGAACTCATTTTCCAGCCGTTTGTGAAACTAGTTTATGAGAAGCATTGAACCGAATGCTTCTAATAAACTAGTTTCACAAGGATACTGAATTTTGAAAAGAGGTAACTTTACTTCAGTAACTGGTAATTCAGCCCCTATTTGTAGGTTTTTTTTGTCCGTCATCGTCCATCGCTGATTGACTGAGACAGGAAAGAGACAGGAAACACTCTTGCAAGACCTGATGCAACCAGCATCAAACGCGCTGTCATTGTAGTGTATGTGTGTCCCCTTCAATGAAGCATTCCTTTACCCCCTTAAGACATACACATACACATACACACACATACACAACTCATAAACATGCTAATAGCTAATAAAACCCTCATGTTCATTAATGAAACTCTTTTAAAAAAGAAAGCAAGCAAAAAGACAGAACAATGCTGAAGAAAGAGGAAAAGCACACATTTTTTGAGCAGACAGAGGCAGAATTTCACAAAAGCCTGGTGTGATGAAGTTGTAGAGGATGCAAAAACTCATTTAGGTGCTCAAATAGCTACTATTAACTTTCTCTTCATTCATTCTCTCACCGGGAGATGAACAGGCAATGTGTTTGTGCTTCCTGGTGAAAGAAAATAGTGATTCGGTTGCGAAGGAGTTTTTAAAGCATCAAATCTGCAATGAAGAGATTTTGGAGATTGACTTCTGTGGATCTGAATTATATTTTGAAGCCAGATATTGAATTGACAGATATTGAAATGTGTCAGTGTGCCAGGAGAGTGCCCAATTCCTGTGAGCATTTGAAAATTCCTGACCAATTTCACTTCATTTTATTTGTTAGAACTCATTTTCCAGCCGTTTGTGAAACTAGTTTATGAGAAGCATTGAACCGAATGCTTCTAATAAACTAGTTTCACAAGGATACTGAATTTTGAAAAGAGGTAACTTTACTTCAGTAACTGGTAATTCAGCCCCTATTTGTAGGTTTTTTTTGTCCGTCATCGTCCATCGCTGATTGACTGAGACAGGAAAGAGACAGGAAACACTCTTGCAAGACCTGATGCAACCAGCATCAAACGCGCTGTCATTGTAGTGTATGTGTGTGTCAGAGCCCATAACTCAGTCTGACTCACACACACTCACTGAATGAGTGTCACATATGAATGCACGCATCAGTGCACAAATACACACAGGTTCCTCTCGCTCCTGCATCCAAAGTCCCTCAGCTCACAGACCCAGAAGAAAACAGGTAGGATACAAAAGAAAATTTGACAGGCTTAAAAGAGTTTAGTTTTAGTTTTATTAAGTCATCTCACATTGGTCACATGGATATGCAGCGATTCCAGTTTATCACCATCCAGACCTGACCTCTATAAACACACCTCATCTTGTCTCGCTGATCAGCGCTCACTCTCACGTGTGACCCTGAAGCGTGACCCCCTCAAACAAAATATGCACACGTGTACAGGCTCAAACACACACACACACTCTCTCTCTCCACACTCGGTGTTTGCGGGTTGTCTCAGCGGTGTAATCATAGTTATTTCCACATGCATTAAGAGAGTCATTTTCTCTCACCGCTGTTGAGTAAATTGCCGGTGTGCTACCTCACCGTCCCCACGGCGGCTGAGCAGAGTGTGTGTGAATGTGTGTGTGTGAGCACATAACGTCGCAGACATCGCCGCAACAATTAGGCAGCTGATATTACATCGTCCTGTGATGCTTATGTGTATTTGTAATGTCCACAAGTGAACATAATTCTCACTGCCACAGAGAGCCAGACAGAAGGGGGAAAAGTATTTTCCGGGGTGAAAGGAGGAATGTTTTGCAGGGAAAGAGAGGTATTGGTATTCCACAGGCGCAGTCATCCTTCAGAACGAGGGAATAACCCTTTCATGTATTTTTCATGCTCGTTAACCACTCCTGTCGGGCTGCTGTTTGTTATTTCTTCCTCTATCTGCCTTATCTTTCCCTCACTCTTCAGCTTTCTACCTGCTCTGTCTTCAACAAACCTTCAGCTCCTTTTGCTCTCTTCCCAAATTATTGCCCACAGCTCTAGAGATCCCCGTTCGAGTCGTGTGTTTGTCATTTGTGGGTTTGTGTCTGTGTATCTATCTCATCCCTCAAAGCAAAGAAAGAAAGAAAGAGACAGGGTGGTCAGAAGAAAAAAAATTACAAAATGGACAAAGAGAATCTGGAGTGACTGACAGGGAAGGAAACTGATGTTTTTCACACTTTCTGTTTTCCCCTCCCATCAAAACCCAGCCGTTATTATAGGGGAAAAAAGGAAATACGAAGGTATTCTTGACCATAAGTGTTGTCATCTGCTAATGTTTGTGTATTTGTGTTTCAGGACAGAGTCTGTTGCTGAGAAGATGCTAACCAACTGGTTTGCTTTCCTGCTTCATAAGTTCTTGAAGGTAACTTGCTTCTTTGGCTTCCTGTAATAGTACTAGTCTCATCTAGACAAACTTTTGATGCTCAGCATGAAGTCTGGTTCACTCTGCAGCTTATTCTGGCTCAGAGCTGCCCAATTAGACAGGAAGCGCCAGTCATGTCACAATCAACTACAGTTTGTATGTTTGTAGGAGCTCATTCAAATAATTGGAGTCTCTGCAAACAGTCGTATGAGACATATTAAAGACATTAATGTGTGTAGACTTTATGGTCGGAATTTAGTGGTATATCATTCAGTTGTGCTCAAAGATTTAATGTTTACTTGCTGCTACTAAGTGTCTCAAACTAAAATATATTTTTATATCTTGCATGAATGGGGTAAATCCAGTCAGTGAGTAGTTTGGCACAAACATGTGTTAGTAACCTGGGAAAGTTTAAACACAAATTTGTTTCCCAGAAAGGCAATTGGAAATTGCATAAAGCTTACCAGTCAGTTTTTGAGAAAGTATGTGCAGAATATAATACATAATGCATACTAACTGTACACATTATGCAATACTAAACATTTTAAATGGTAGTTTACGTACCTTGTTGCCACATGATCTTAATGGACTGGCCACATGACTTCATTATGTTCATATTTAACTCTCTAAATGACATCTTTGAAAATGTGAAATAGAACATTTTGAAATAGAAATCCTGTAACACCGTTAATCTTTACTGTCATTTTTATCAATTTAATGTATCCTTACTGAATAGAAGTATTAATTTCTTTCAAAAAATGAATGGTAGTGTACATACTATATACTGCAGAAATAGTATTATGCTAGTGTGATATTTCAAACAGACTTAGACCAGCCAGAGTGTAAGTAGTGATAAAGTAATAATAATAATAATAATGTGTGTTGGTGTCTGTGTCTACAGGAGTGTGCAGGTGAGCCTCTCTTCATGCTGTACTGTGCTATAAAACAGCAGATGGAAAAGGGCCCAATAGACGCCATCACCGGAGAGGCCAGATACTCCCTCAGTGAGGACAAACTCATCCGGCAACAGATTGACTACAAGACACTGGTCAGCATCACACACCCTCATAGCCACACTAATAAACAGAGTATCTGATAAACTCTCATGTATGTCAGTGCTGTGTGTTTGAAAGCAGACAGTCTGGCCGAGGGAGGGTAGTGTTCATTAGTCTCTCATACCCTGCTAAGGCTGAGATTGGGGTCCTGCAGAGGGTGTGAAATTAGATTTCTCGGGCCAGGAAATGGCCTTTTCCAGAGCCACGCTCCGCACCTACGGCTTCACTGACCACAACCCATCTCATCATCCTCATTCCTCTTTTTTCGCTCCAGATCTTAAACTGCGTCAACCCAGAGAATGAGAACAGCCCAGAGATCCCGGTCAAGGTTCTGAACTGTGACACCATCACGCAGGTCAAAGAAAAGATTCTGGATGCAGTGTATAAGAACATGCCGTATTCTCAGAGACCCAAAGCTGTGGACATGGACCTGGGTGAGTTTAACATGTGCACACAAGTGTGATATTGCTTTCAAAATGTAAGGAGTTAGTAATGAGTAACTAACATTTTAGACACAAAATTGTGTTACTTTGTCGATTTTTGTTTCTGCAAAAAAATTGTTCCAAATGAAGCCACAGCAGATTAAATCATTTTGAATGAATTGTTTGAACAGATTCTTTCAAAGAATGATCCAGTGATTCACCCATAAAAACAGTTTCATTCCTGAATGAATCCGTGTTCCTGAACAAATCATTTGAGTGAAAGATTCAATGACTCACTCACAAAGATACTCACCTGTTTCATTCTTGATTGAATTGGTCCTTTTGAACAAATCAGTTAACTGAATGATTCAATTACTCACTCATAAAAAACGCTTGTTTAATTCCTGAATGTATCAGTGATTTTGAATGAACTGAGTGTTTGATTCATTGACTCGCAGTATAAAGACAACCACTTGTTTACTTCCTAAATGAATCAGTGTTTTAAAGGAATCAGTTGGCTGAATGATTAATTTGCTCACTCAGAAAGAGTGACTAGTTTAATTTCTGAATGAATCTGTGTTTTTGAACAAAATTGTTTGAATGAATGATTCAATGATGCACTTATAAGAAATGTCATGTCACCACTTACTGCCGTAACAATGTAACCTGCAGAAAGAGTCACAGAAAAGCTTTTTTATCGATATATTTCAAAATATAATGACCTCACAATTTTTTAAGAAATGTAAACTTCTTTTGATTTGATTTCATGTTTTCTGTAATGCATAAACAGTGATAGTAATGTACACTTTTTGCACGCACACAAGCAGGTGTGTGTGTGTGTATGATAGTCATGTGATATATTCTTGATCGCATTAGTCCTTTTGAACAAATCGGTTAACTTGAATGATTCAATTACTCACGCATAAAAAACAATTGTTGAATTTCTAAATGATTGAACAGTGATTTTGAATTTAGTGATTGAAATATATAAAGACAACCACGTTTTGTTCCTTAATAAATCAGTGTTTTAAAAGAATCAGCTGGATGAATGATTTATTTGCTCACTCAGAAAGAGTCACTTGTTTAATTTCTGAATGAATCTGTGGTTTTTGAACAAAATGGTTTGAATGAATGATTCAATGACACACTAATAACAAAAAAAGTCATCACCTACTGCCATGACAATGTAACCTGCAGAAAGAGTCACAGAAAAGCTTTTTTATTGATACATTTCAATATATAATGACCTCACATTTTTTTAAAGAAATGTAAACTTATTTTAATTTGATTCCACATTGTCTGAAATGCATAAACAGTGATAGAAATGTACACTTTTTGCACACACACAAGCAGGTGTGTGTGAGTGTGTGACCCAGGTAAAAGCTGACAGACGGCGCTGACAGACTGACTCCACATTTCATTTCTGGCACACAAGCGCCCATCACACACACACACACCGCACAAAAGCCCCCTGTCAGCGGTGCAAATCATCCTTCCAGCGCCTTGGCCAGAGCAATCTCCTCCATGATGATGTTCTCTCTCTGTAGCTGCAGAACTGGCATTGCTTTTGTGTGTGTGTGTGTGTGTGTGTGTGTCTGTCTGTCTGTCTGTGTGTATGTTGGGGGTAGGTTTCTGCAGGCATCATCTGTGCATTTGGCAACCACGTAAACTAATAAACCCCATTCAACAGAGGAGAAAATCAATGATCACTCTCACTCTGAGCCTGTCTATATCTTATCAACTCTCTCTTTAGCATTTAATTATACCCTACCGCGCGTATATACACACACACACACACACACACACACACACACAAACACACACACATTTCTAACCCATGTGAAAAGACACATTCAGAGCTTTGGATCAAATCAATCTGCTTTGAGCTGGGGGAGGTTCACTGTGTCTGTTTTAATGGCAAATGTTTGATTTTTCAGAGTGGCGTCAGGGACGACTTGCCCGAGTGGTCCTGCAGGATGAAGACATCACCACTAAGATTGAAAATGATTGGAAGAGGCTCAACACTCTCATGCACTATCAGGTACAAAAGAGGACACACACGCTTACACATAATCTCATGGTGCCCTCTTCTGTCTAAACGAGTAAACATTAAAGGGGACGTATCATGGATTTTCTTTGCTCTGTTGATAGAAAAAAAGAATCTGATGTACTATGTAGACATCTCCCCAGTGCAAAAATAGTAAAAATGCATGTTTTAATCTGTATTTTTCCTAGTTAACATATATAAACTTCTTTAAAGCGATATAATAGAATTACAAAATTATAATGCTAAAAAACTAGATTATAGCACTTTGAAAGCATCAGGAATCATTAAAAAAAACTCTGCAGGAAGGACAACATGCTACAAAAAGAAATCCTCTGTATATCCATTTAATTCCTCAGACATGAAACAACAATTAAGCTTAATACAACAACAAAAAAACATTTCCTTTATCTCGCAGTGCTCCAAAATGTCTCGCTGTGAGT